ATGCCCATGACCTGCCAGTTATCTGGTGTGACTGTGTTACAGGTACTGATCCCAACTGATCGATAGATAGCCATTGCCATATTACCAGTTTCAAGGACTTATCTTGTGTTTGCACTGCCCAATGCCAGTTTGCATTTTTCTGTGTAACTCCAGCATTGCACAGATGCCCATATACACCGATGTTACATAGGTGGTTTTCCAAATTTTCACTGTCAGTGGGTTTTGAACTTCCAACCTACCACTTGGGGAGTTGACAACTTATTCACTTCACTAAGTCACCACACCCCTTATAAATTTTTATTTTAAAATACTTATATTCAGATTTTGCTGTTTAATGCTATATTTAATTTTAAAAAATGTACAATATTTTTGTTTTGCTTATTATTCTAATTTTATAAAATTTTATAAATCTTAATTTTGCTATACAGTATATAAATTTTATTGTTTAATTATAAAATAATCTATAAAATAATTTAATTAATATAAATAAATATAATTAAATATAATTTAAAACTTAAAATTAAAAATATTTATCTTAATTATTGCTTAAAATTTTAATCTTATTACTTATTTATAACTTATATCTAAAATATTTTAATTATAAAATATATTTAACTAATATTTCTTAAAAATTAAAATTTATTCCAGTTATAAAGTTTTTATTTTTTCATATAAGAGATTAATTAATCTAATTTCTAATTGAGATATTTCTATATTTTCAGGTGGATTTTTTAAAAATTTTAAGATTTTATCAAAAGCTTCAAATATTTCTTATAAAGAACTTTTATTATTATGAATTGTTGAATTATCATCATCTGCTTGAATCATTAACAAATCATTATTTAATAATTCAAAATTTTGATTTTTTTGATTATTTTCATTTAACAAAGATATTCTTTCTATAATATCATTATCTAGTATTTCTTTATAATCTATATCCTTATCTTGATCAAGATATTCTAAATTTAATTAATATAAATAATTATTAGATTAATTTATATATATTTATTATAATAATATTTAATAATAAATAATTTATTTAATAAATTTAAAATTATTAAAACTTAATTATAAAATTAAAATTATAAAAATGTTATCATATTATTTTAATTTTAAAATAATTAAAATAATATATAAAATTCTAATGATTTTATAATTTTATAATCAAATTTTAATAATAATTACAGGTAAAAAAAATAATTTTTAACTAAATAATAACTAGTAATATTTGGTACAAATTATAACTTATTTACTATGTATTTACTAGATAATATATGTAATTTAATATATTTTTAATTAATATGTTTAAATGCATATATTACCTAGTTAATATATAGTAAATAAGTTATAATTTGTATCAGAAATTACTGGTTATTATTTAGTTAAAAATTGATTTTTTTACCTGTGAATAAAATTTTTTTATTAAAATGATTGTTTAATAATAAAGATTCTAATAATAAATAATAAGTGTATAGTGACTTAGTGAAGTAAATAAGTTGTCAACCCCCCAAGTAGTAGTTGGAAGTTCAAAACCCACTGATGGTAAAAATTTAAAAACCACCTATGTATATCAGTACTATGGGCATCTGTGCAATGTTTGAGTTACTCAGAAAAATGCAAACTGGCATTAGGTAGTGCAAACTCAAGATAAGTCCTTGTGTCTAGTACTATAACAATAGCAATCTGTTGATCAGTTGGAATCAGTACCTGTAACATAGTCACACCAGATAACTGGCAGGTCATAAGGCATCTGTGCAATATTGGAGTTATATAGAGGAATGCAAACCAGCATCAGATGATGCAAACACAAGATAAGTTCTCATGATCAGGTAAATCTGTAAACTGAGAAAACTGGAGTCCACTTGAGAAGACCTAAGTAAAGAGGTAACACAGATCTTCAACAGTACTACTGTAAAGGCTAAATCTAGAAAACAGATACTAATGTAGAAGAAATCAGACAGGCAAGAACCTCAAATGAAGAGTACCACCAAGCAGGCCACTGGAAGTCTCAAACCAGAGGAAAAGAACCTTGGGGGCAGACCTTGGGGTACTAGGGACAGATCACAGTCCTATTGGGTTATCTGAATTGGGAGTCTAGTTTCAGAAGCAGAGTATACTATAAGTACTAAGGATATGCTGTGAAGCAGTACTAGGGTTTGGATGAACTTTACAAGGATGAGCCCTGTTAGCAAAGATTAAATATGAGTAGTTAGTTAGCAAGAGGCCTCCTGGAGCCCTATAGTCAGGTGACATACTCTGAAATATATAACAGCCTAACAAATATACAGACAGAAAGGTCAAGGTTAGGTTAGACAATATCTAATTAGGTGTATAGAAGCTTGTGCTGCTATCTGCTAGTGTAGTATATGGGTAACCTTGTACAAGTTATGTAATTATAATTGAATTCACAATAAAGGCAGTAGCCACTATAACTAAAAGGCCTTAGTGGAAACAAAAAAAAAAATAATAATAATAATTAAATAGTAGAGCTCTTATTAAACTAGATCAAACTTTAAATTATATTCTATATCTTTATAACTTTTAATAATGAATTTTTTATGTTATACTTTTTAACTTCAATTCTATTTTTATATATTCTATAGCATTACCCATTTCTGTGGATTTAATAATATATAAATGCCTTATTTTTAGTCTTATTATCTTTAACTCTATTATTATAACAATATTAAATCCTATTTATTCTACTAGCATTTCTTACTTATATTTTATCCTATTGCATATATATAAAACTTATAAAATAAGGATTGTAACTTTTTACTTAATTAAGAAAATTACTTAGCAGAATAAAGCATATATATTGCAGACTATATGGTAGATTGGTTAAGGTAAATAAGAAAGAATATGTAATAATATACATTATATATTCTTTTAAATTATATTTTAGTTATCTTAAATAAATTAATAAAAAGTTTCTTTCATTTATAAAATAATTGATTTTTTGTAACATTATGCTAAATATCTTAATTAATATAAAGGAAATAAGCATTGAGGCTGAAAAGACCTTTCTATAACTAATTAGAATCTATATTCTTGTTAGATTATAATTGTTAAATATAAGTTAATAAGAGAAACTATATATAAGAAGTAATTACCAAAATATTGAATTATGAACATTTTTAATAATATTTTTATAATAATATTATGCAGTAAAAATATTAAAAATAATTTTACAGGTATTACAGCATTATTAAAATTTTTAATTAGAAATGTTATAGCAAGAGAAATCATAAAATACAATTATCAAATATTCAATAATGTGTTATAATATTATATATTATTATGACTTTACTATTCTAATTCATGATATTCACAATAGTGTATAAAATATCTATTATATAAATGTAAAATTTACTAACCTTGAGCTGATATAAGATTAGTGAAATTTAATTAATTAATAGAATTTTGGATTACATTTACTTCATTCATATGTTCAGTTAAAAATTCTTGCTTAGCTAATTGAATTTCATAGTCATGTAAACTAGTAAGCTTCTTAGTAATAGTACTATTTTGAATAGAAGTAATAGTACTATATTGATTAATAATAATAGTATTATTTTGAATTCTTGTAGTTATATTATTTATATTAATTGTACTAGTTTTATGAAAAGTTGTTGTTTCTTTTTTATTAGTAATAGTATGATTATGAATAACTGTAATTGCTTAAGCTTAATAAGTTAAACTACTTTCTCTTGTACTAATATTAGTACTAATTGTATTAGAGTTAGTACTAATATTAGTATTAAAAGAAATAATTAAAGATGCAGATATTAGATCTTTATTAAATAAAAAATTTGCAGGATTCCAGTAGATTTCTAACAATTTTTAATAGTTTTTTTAATAACATTATTCTATGCTTTTTCAGAAAGTTTATATGCATCTAAAATTGTAAATTCTCTTATTTAATTAGTTGTATTTTCAAGAGCATCATAAGCTTTAATTCTATCATCTACAAAAAGTTTATGATAATGGGCTTTAAAACTATCAATAATTCCAGCATCACATGGTTGAAGATATGATGTAGTATTTGGTAGTTAAAAATAAATTTGAATATTGGTAAATATTATATTTGAATAAAGCTTATAAACAGAACAATTGTCAATTAATAAAATAATATTATAATTTTGATTTGTCATTTTATAATTTAAATCTAATAACCATTTATTCCAAATTGACACTTGCATCTATACTGTTTGTTATATTCATATTGAATATTAATTTTAGCAATATCAATTTTTTTAATTTTTCTAAATGCTCTAAAATTTTTTGATTTAACAATAAAAATAGGAGCAATTTTTTTAGTTTCAGTTGCATTACCACCTAATAAAATTGTTACAGTTTCTTTTATTTTTTTGTATTCTTTAATAAAATAGTTGCTAAGATTTTACTAGGCTCCAATTTTCAAAATAATCCTGTTTTATCAATATTAAAAATATTTTCTAATTTAAAATTGTTATTAACAATTATTTCTTGAATTTTTTTTTTCTTCAGGAAGAGTTTTCAAAGAAGCACTTGCACTTTCACCTGTTTTTGTAAATATTAAAAAATTATGTTTTTTTTTAAATTTGGCTACCCATCCAAGAGAACTTTTAAATTCTTCAATATTGAGAATATTTGCAAACTGAATAGCTTTTTTTTGTAAAATTCTATTATTAAGATCCATTTCAGCACTAAGAGCTTCTTGAACCCAAAGCCATAAAGCTTCTTCTAACAATGGCCATTTAGGACCTTTCTTAATTTTAATAGATTCAACTGCAAACTATTTATCTTTTTGCTTAAAAATATTATATATAGTAGATTCACCAACTGAGTATACATAAGCAAAATCTTTATTAGTAGGTATCAGAATTGATTGTTTTTTTAAGCATATTTCTTTTTTTAGTTCAATTGTTAAAGTAACTTTTTTTCTTTTATTTGATTGTAACATAATATAAATTTATAAAATATTATATAACTTAAATAAAATATTGAATAAAGAATGTATAATTTATATAAATATAAACTAAACAAATTAATAATTGAAAAAAATGTAGAGTGTAAATATGTATTTAATTCTCAAACTTATACAGTATCATATTATAGTACATTATATATCAAAATAAATATATATAATACAATAGTCAAATGAGTGTTACTAAAAGAAATATGTATAAGTAATCTATTTTTAGATATGCAGGTTTTTTTAGTGACATTTAATGCAGCATATATATTATATCTACAGTATATATATTAGGTTATATGTTAGCATATAATAAATATTATATAAAAGACTAATTTAACCAAAGAATTCTAAATTTGCTTAAATTTTAGTTTTTTACAACTTACATATATATGTGTATCTAAACAAGTACTATATATAGTATATAGTACTGTACTGTATTTAAATAATTTTAAGACATATGATAATGCCTATAGTTTCACAGTATTATTACTCTAGGTATGATTGTCAATTATTAATTTTACTATATTTGCATTATAAGTTTATTATTTGCCAAGATAATATGGCATCTTATGCAGAATCTTTGGTTTATTGATCTAAATAATAAAAGAATAACTTAGAATTATAAAAGAAATTTAAATAAATAGAAAGTAGAATAAAACTATAAGCAAAATCTATAAAAATTTAAAGCAATAATAGCATAGCAGAATAAGAATAGAAGAAAATTTTTTATTTGTTATTGTATAGTAATGATGAATTTTACAAATATATCAACTTTTTGATTTGTAATCAAAAGTGCCAATATTGTACTGTAATCAAATCTGAATCAAATAATCACATATATCTGTCTGGTTACTATTTTTTACAGATAAACTAAGATCATTATTATAAGTTCAAATTGTCATATGATTCATGAACTTTCAAATTCATAAGCTAAGAATAATGTTGAGTAGTATTTGAACTATGCCATTTGAACTAATAAAACATTCCAATTAATAATATAACTACTTTCATTATAACTTATATTTATAATTAGTATTTTTGATATAGTATTAGTACAGTACAGTACTGTATATATACTATACAATATGATTCTCATTACTATATTCTACTGTAAATTAGCATCACATTCTCTACTCTATTTTTTTAAATATCAGATTAACAAACATCATAATGAGACTTTAGCCAAGTTATTTCTGCTAATCTGGCATTTAAAAAAATGGAGTAAAGAGTGTGATGCTTATTTATAGTAAAATATGGTACATTAATTTATTGCAAAAAATGTTAATTAAACTTAATTTGTTTCTGATGGCATTAGGATGCTATCAAAAATTAAATAAATAATACAATATAATAAAAAGTTAGCACTTATTAAACTTAGTCTATTTTCTAACAGCATCTTGATAATGTTAGAAAATAAAATTAATTGATGTGTGCTAAATAAGAGTTATCAATTACAGCATGTCAATTATAACTTAAAGCATCAACATCTGAGATATAATTAAATATCTTGGTTTACATTAAGCTTATTTTAAGCTTAATATAGGCAAAATATTAAACTATACTTTGAACATTATTTTGAGATGTACATAGTGATAAATTAGCTTATTCTGGTTGGTTCTGTTCTTGTAATTAGGCCTTTTAATAAGCCTAAGATATCTGTGAGCATCTGCAGATAGGCTCATAAGGGCTATGCTAGGGTATCAAATCCTAAATCTAAGATGAGCATAAGGCCTCTAAACATTGGACCCTTGTTTAAACAGATAAAGCTTGGGTAGTACTGCTTTATCTGTTATTTATGTTTCATAAATTTAAGTTCATATTATTGGATAATTCTATATTTTGGTCCTTATTAGTTATTTACTCTGGCCTATTCATATCAATTTATTATTTTTAGATCTTTATCTAGCCATTGGTACTTATCAGCACTTTTCTTAAACTTTATATTAAGTTTTAGTTTGTGTCTAACTATTACACCTTATTATTTAACAAAATGAAAAATAAACAAATAAAAAAAATCTATAGATATAAAAATATAGCATAAATATTGGAACTAGAGATAGGCAAATCATGGTTTTTTAAAAAATCTTATACAGAATTTATTAAATCTAGATGTCATGTAGTTGAACTTTAATTTTAATTTTTTAACAACTGTAATTAACAAAATTTTGGCCACATTATACATAATTTTGGCCAGAGTTTAATTTTTTAATTGGGTTTGTGATAATAAATTAATTTAGGAACATATTTCACTTAGGGTTAAAAATTACTTTACAGAAACCTATTGATTTTTTTAAATATTTTTATTATATAAATATTATATAATTAATATTTATTAAGTTACTTATAAGCCCCTTATTAATAGCTAATTAAAAGCTATTTATTAGTTTTTATACTTGTTATTATTAAATTAAAATATAAAAA